GTTGTGGGCCGTTTGAGCAAGATGGTTCATCTTGCGGCGGTTCCGGACACCATCGACGGTGTCGGTATAGCGACGCTCTTTGTGGATCGTGTCTTTCGGCAGCATGGACCTTCGGAGTCAATTGTCGCTGACAGGGACCCACACTTCACTGGGAGGATTTGGTCGACGATCTTCAAGGTGCTGGGCACCAAGCTGGATATGACAACAACAACCCATCCGTACACCGATGGTCAGACTGAGCGCGTGAATAACGTCATTGAAGACGTTCTTCGTAGCGTCTGCGCTAAGACGAAGCGCTGGAGCGCCACGTTGCTACCCATATAGTTCGCTCTGAAAAATGCGGTGCAGTCATCTACCGACTTCACGCCGTTCTACTTGAACGGGCTTGTTAACCCTTTCGTTCCGCTGACGCCACTATCACATGGCTCAGGGTTTGGTGGGGAACGACTAGCTGATGTCAGCCACCTCACCGTGCGTAAGGAATTCAGAGACTTCCTGTCTACCAGACTGTGTGTCTTACGACACATTCGCGATGCAATGGCTGAAAGTCAAGACATGCAGAGTGAATAAGCAGACGGAAGAGGAAGAAGAAATGTTGAGAGCTTTGAGGTCAAAGACCTGGATTTATTAAATGATGAAAACCTTTCTATACATGCAGTCTCTGCTGGCTTCAAGACAGAGCTCCATCCACGGTTGATTGAGCCGTTTTAGGTCGTGGCCAAGCGATATCTTGAGTATACGCTGAACCTTCCGAAACGGATGCGCCCCTCTTGGTGTTTTATTTGGGCTTGTTCAATCCGTATTGGGATCCGGCGCAAGTGATAGCGGAAGGGTTGGCGCCGGGGGTGCCCTCCGGCGCTCGACCACCCAGAAGCTGGTCCAGCATCTATTTTTGAGCACGGAGTGAAAAATTTCCATCTCCTACGGCGCCAAGCACTCCACCTTCGCATGAAGGGACATATTCGTCTGCTCAACGGCTAGGAGCCGCTCTGACAGAGCGCTATAGTTCTCAACATGAGGCACTCAGTGCACAAAGTGCTCCAAACTCTCAAGGTCTTCCGCACAGCGGTATGAGACTCCAGCATGATGCTCAGCGGAGTTTCGGTCGCAACGAACCTTGTCTTCAACAGCTCAAAGAGCATCGCGAGGCACCGGACGGCGATCGACCAAGTCGTCATCGTCCACCGCCGATTCTTCTCGACAAAACGGTGGTACCCACTATCACGTGGAACGTCTTGTGGGTCGACGTCGTCGGCAGGGTCAAACCCAGTATCTTGTGTAGTGGCGGGGATACCTAGACTCCGCGAACTCCTGAAAGTTTGAATTACCACTTTCGCAAGCCCGCATAGACATCGTGGACGCTTATGATCAAAAGAATCATGACGCTCCGTGTCGTCGCGCGCCCACGCTTCTCGGGGGTTGCCCGGGAATCCGAATGGCCATGAGCTGAGCTCCATCTATGGCGCTCAGCTACTATGATCGTGGACTCCCCCGTGTGAGAGACCACAGAGCTCGCGGGAGCGTGATGGATCAAATCATACGTCGCAGGGCGACAATTAAGTAGAAATTCGACGACGAGCCTTGATTTTGGCAGATTCAAATCAAAGGTGGCGTTCCACGAGCGCGTCCACCTCCTTGTGGCTCAGCTGTAACTGTACACGCAAGAAAGGTTTCCTGTTCCACTCCATCCATCGCTCAAGTGCTCGTCGATATATGCAGCGGTTTCGCCAGAGGCGAGCAGCACAGGAATCGTCCGCTACAAGGTTACAGGAGCGCCTCCTCTTTGAGCACAATGTGGAGTGTGGTACGTATCCACCAGGATTTCTTTAAGAATAAAGAAGCGAGCTCAGAGAGCTTCTCGTTCGTCAAGCTCAGCTTGTGTAGTAGTCTGAGGATCAATCACATAGACGCCCAACGATTGAGTGATCGCGTCCTTCGCTTCTGTAGCGGGATCCGCCGAGCGAAAGCCGTATTCTACATGAGGGTCAAGGACCAACCGTGGATGCGCGCATGGGAGCGCCCCGCGAACCGCATCCAGCAGTTTCTTCTGTGCCTTGTCAAGGTCATTGGCAATGACACCACTTATCCCGGAAGTCGAGAGTTCGTGAATCTGACACGGCGTTCGCAAGGGTAGTAGGACTCACTTCGCGCTGCTGGGGCACCTTGCCCTCTTTTTTACATCCCGGAAAAGGAGTGATCGACTCGTAGTCGACTTCCTCCAAATTTCTGATGAGATAATCCATAGCCGTGGCGGGCACGGTACACATTCGAAGTAGTCATCGCGTCTGTGTTGTTGGTCGTGCGACCCTGTCGCTGACAAATGCGCTGCGCGGTACTTGGTTACCGAGAGATTGGGTTGCACCTCCTTTGAAGCCGCGGACGTGTTGTCCAAGTTGCACCGCGTGTAGGAGACGGAGAAGGGCTCTGACCGCGGGCATTCTCGGAACCAGCGAGGCTGAGTGTCTGTCGCGTCCTCGACACAGGGCTCATTGAGCAGAGATTTTGTTAAGAAGGTCTAGGTGGTTGTGTGGCATCTTAGACACGCGAGCCTCGTTCGAGGCGACAGTTAATTGTGAGCTGTAGATTTTCACAATCTTGATCGGGGAGAGTTAAGGGAGTTTCACGTGCCTTGAGAGGAAGGGTGAGGGTTGCACAAGATGGTGTGACCAAACAATGGTATGGCTACACTCAAACAACAAGTCAGTACGTGGCTGGAACAGCCAGTAGCAATACATTTGATTAGCTTTCTATGTAGATAGGAAAACCTATAGAATAAGAGATAGGCGGCTTTGCAATAACTCCGAGAGATACAGTTTACTTCTTTAACGGAAGAGTTAATCAGCCTGGGGTTAAGGTTGTTATTCCTCTTGGGGTAAGCGAGTTGCAATCTGCTACACTCGTACTGGATCTAAGTATGGAACGAAGGTCGCCGAGCTTAACCAAGCTTCTTTGAAGCGACGGAGCCACAGCAGCCCCGCTGCAGCAGACTTGCAGAACGTGCCGGACCATTTCGAGAACCGAGTTCTTCATTCACGTAACTAGCTCACTAAAAACACCGAGTAAAGGGTTATCTAGACGATGAGAAATCTGCAATATCCTTCGGCTGAGTTTTAGACTACGCTCTAATATATTATGAGTATCAACTCTAGCGGAGCTTGAATGCGCTTGATTTTATGTTGA